GGCATGCGATACGGCGTTGGAAAGGGCATTGACTAGCCGACACGAATGCACTTCTCGAGGGCCATATCTATAAAGGTGGTGTGAGCTCGGCGGCGCTTCGTCGCACGTACATCGAACCAGGACCAAAATCAATTGCAAGGAGTATCCTGCCATTGAAGGACCGGACCTCATCGACTTTTGACTTGACAATTCAATTTGAAACGGGCTAACGGACACACGGACGGACGGACGAACAGACACAGGGGCGATCGCATAAGCCGGCTTATATAGCTTTTAAGCAAAAGAGTGGGCTAAAAATACGCGGGGTTCAGCATTTAATTCAGCTCACTGTAATCTGTATTGATGTTCTTTGAAAGGTTCTTATGAGGAGCACTCCAACCAGTTAACAGTTAACATCGCGAATTACAATACTTCCGCTACCATATCGACCTGCAGTGTCTTAAGTATCACAGTGAAAACGATGTCTTGTTTTTTGAGCTAAAAGTGAAAACTTAAAAGGATTCAAATATTACAAGACAACTCTCCTGATCTCGCCTTATAGAGGAATCTTTTTTTCTAAATGAGAAAACATCCCACATTTTTAGGAGACTTCCTCGAAGTATAAGGGCCCGAGGCAAAGGAGTGGTCTGCGAGATATTGGCAAAGAGCTGGTAATAGTTATTCGTTAAAAAAATGCGCTAATGTTTCCTAGACAGATCGCGTATAGTCCACGGCGGACAATCCGCAGTAGAATCGCAGATTGTTCTCAAGGTGCGATCAGCTAACGTTTCCCTGATGATCTGAAGACATTGCTTAAATAATCCGTAAACGATTCGCAGTCAAATAAGTTTGCGGATTGCATGAGAATGAACCGCACACAGTGTAGGGACCATCTGTATATATGCGTTGTAGACAATCCGCAGACCAACCGCAACAGCACAGCAAAAGAGAAATTTAACTTTCTCGTCGACATTGTCACCGGCACCGGCCAGAATCGAACTCCGGGACACAGGAGTCTTGGCTTGGCCAGAAGGAGCTCGCTGAGCGGAGCGCGTGGAGTCGAGGAGGCAAAGGAATGTGGCGTCACAGGGATGGGATAACAGTAAATACTTTTTAGCCATGAAACAAAGCCCTAGCTGGGTCGTTTTTCATGAGCAGCCCGCTCAATAACTTTTTCAAAGTAAATCGGCTGGTTACCAGAAACTGTTAGTGCCATTCGCCAGCCTGCAGAAAGAAAGCAGACACTTTGAAGTGGGCCCTAATCTTTCCGGCCATGCGGCCGGTATAAAAGTACGAAGCGCGAGCTGGGCCACTGCCGTGCAGCACCCCTCGCACGGAGAGCAGTAGTGCCCGCCGCCTGAAGTGTTCCACCCAAACGGACCTCACAACATACCTGTAAGTGATCCCATCTTGTTAGCCAACGCAACGTAAAAATCAAACCGATCTTCGCAGACCACTCTAATCAGCAATTCTGTTTCCCCCGCAGATCATGCGTGTTGTCGTAGCAAGCATCCTGGCTCTGGCCGCCATTACTTGCGTCCCCGTTGTCGTGTACCGCATGACTCTGGCGCCCTCGGGCTCACCGCCCGTTACCCCACCCCGTCTCGAGCCCGTGCGTATGCCCATCAACCCCCGCGGCTCCCGGATGCGGCAGGGCGCGGGTGGCACCCCAAACCTCACGGTGTCTGCTGTTCCCGCCCAGGAGTCCGTCACAAGCGGACCAATAAAATATATGACGGGGACATCTACTACGGCCGGCTCACATTCAAGTCACAAGCCTGCCAGCTCCCCTGCGAATGCACGTGCGGTCTGGCCATCCGTCTCGGATAGTGCTAGTCCACTGCCATCCACCGCAGCGCCCTCTTCGCCTGCCAACAGCTCTGTCCCACAACACAATTTCGCTGCCCGGCTACTTCTCATTGCCTTAAGGCGCCAAGCTCCGACACGATTAGTGTAAACGTCTGTCAAGCAGAACCTCAAGGAATTGACTGATCTAATATCCGAACGATTAAGTTCGGTTCGACTGATATCATCCCCCGGTCGGAGCCTCATACTCATATTCAACCGCGGCGACATTAGCGATGTACTGCAACCATAACTTGTTCACTCTTAAATTATTTATTTATTGTATAGGCTTATGCATGTAAATACACCTAACATCACTTCTTCTGCCTTAATCTTTTTCGGGACCTTTGTACTTCGGACGTCTTCAAACTTCCGAACTCCAAAAATGAAGCTCAGCTGCCATGTGCTTGCGTGCCCTGTGGGAGTTTAAGTCACTGTCCTAGTTTCGGATTTCCTGGAAGGTCCATTCTGGTGGCCCACTCGCAATAGACCATTCCGCTGAGCCAAAAAGGACGACGATGACGAAGAAAAAATATTTCTGACGTCTTAGGTAACGGGTCTTTTAGCACAGCATTTTACAACTCTTCCACGTTCAGAATGATTTTTTACACCAAATGTGACAGTGTAAGGACAACAAATCATTTACAAATCGGCCTCCACCACCCCTTTTGATATGGCTGGTCCTAGCAACGTTGACCGATCTCCTTTTCGGTGGGCGG